GTAGGATAAACGGGACCCTTCTATCGCTAGAGTTGTCGTTTGGAGGCCTACGATTTCCTCTACACCTATCCTGAGCTACAGTTTCGTAGCCATTAGAAACGGCTATTTGCCGTGCCAAGTTCCGGGACTCCTCTCTCTGCTCTCTTCCCGTGCACACGTTGGTTGCTGTTCGAAACATGTTTCTTATAAGCGCCCTTTTCGTGTGAGAGGGGTGAGAGGAGAGGTAATGAACCAAGATATTTAACCAAGATATGTTGATATTACCAAGATACGCATAGGACCCAGAGACATAACGGGGACGACTTCGAAGTATGTGTCACGATCCTCGCACGCGAATCAAGAACACAGGCGCGAAAAACTCTCGAGGCATTCTGGATTAATTCCAGAAATCCGAAAATGAACCGCAGGGAGGAATGCCTCATTATCACGCGTGATATAGGGCAGTATATAAAACTGCTTTTCTGATGTGAGGGGCACATTATACTTCCACGTGATTTCTGTGCGGTTGGTCTCTACGTGACATACTTAGTGGAAACCTCATAGAAAGCGGTGAGTGTGCAAAGCTGTGTTCAAAGTGATTGAAATCTTGGTTTGGAGTTTCTTTGTTTGGTTATGGAGGCGTCTGGCCGAGTGAGTTGCTATCAACTTGACCTTTCCAGGCTCTGAAGAAGGCGAAATCCGCCGAAACGTCAGCTTAATCGTGAACAAAGAATAGTAATACCAGTCTTTAGTTCAATATCTGTTTTTATTTCCTAGGTGTCAGGTCCTAGGGTGAGGAAGATGAAACTAATGGCCCAAATGGATTTTACAGAACTCTGGCGACTACGATGTTTTCGAGATCCCCGATGATGACCATGATGAAAAAGATGAACGACCAGGTGGTAATAAAGCCGTAACAAATACGTGTTCCACTTCAATATCTACTATGAAGGAAAAGGCGAAGCCAAAGTTGAAAGGCAAGAAGGAGAATGGCACAAGTGGTTCACCAAAAATGACCGACTTTTTCGCGAAGGTTCTTGCTGATTCACTACTATATCAATGGTTGAATTTTGTACAATATATTTGCTTTAGGGCAAGAGTAAGAAAAAGAGTGCTGCTTCTGACTCTGATGATGCCATAGTCATTGAAGATGATTCGCCGGTACCGCCACGTCAGCCAAGGTTCGTTTCGCTGTTGTAGTCTTGGAATGTGCTGGAGAGAGTTTTACTTTCAAACGATGTTTTTTCACATGAAGTGTGAAGTCTTCAAAGTATTCCGCAATATTCATCCCCTTTCAAGAATGTTTGGAGGTTTTATATGGGTTTGAATTTGGCAAAAGCTTTTGGATAGATAGCGCACTATAATTTGGATACTATCATATTTCTCGTTCTAGTCGTCGGCCTCGCACAGGTACAAAGTATAACTATGATATCAGCGGTGATGAAGAGGAGTATGAACAGCCACGAGCCAGAAAGAGAAAGGTGGTCGATAGCGATAGTGACTGAAGTATTTTATGATGTCTTCAATCTTATCGTTAGTGTAGCTCAAGGAGCTGTTTATTTTCTATCTTATTTCCTTGTACCAGTACAAGTTTTGCATTTTAAATGTCTCTTGTCCATTTAGATTGTAAATTTACTTTTGTGGGCGGTATGTACTGTCATATTTCAATGTACTTTTGATCTCGTAATTTATACATCCCGTTGATGTGTTAACGATACTCGGATGTCTGCATGTTTCTCACTACCTACTAACTAAAGATCATCTGTAATCGGTTGTTAAGGAACTATCAAATGAAATTCTTGACCTCCATGTGAATAAATTCTGTTTCCATGTTTCCTTTCACTAGCCGTTGAATCATGTAGACACATTCGAAACGAAGTTTAGAAAACTTGTTGGTGATCTATTTATTGTTAGATTCTCCTTGTGCATTGGTAGTAGGAGAGCTGAGAACTCTGTAGAGCTAAAGGAAGCTTGCTCCTTGACGTTGAATATATTTACAATTTTTATAGAACGTTCTATTCAATTGTAAATTCGTTTTGCGTTGGAATCTCTAAGTTAAACACCAAAGGTTGGATCACTGAAGTTCCCATGAAGGTGAGGTGGCTGCGAGAATTAATAATAAGTGGGGTATACCATCGTGACCAACGGTACGAATTCGAGCTTGTTCACTTGGCTTTGTGTTCGGAAGAGGTCGAGATTTGCCATAATAAAGGAATATATGCATATATATGTATATATATATATATATATATATTTATACTCTCAACGGTTTACCGCGCTTCATCGTCTATAGGAGGTGTTCTTGGGTGTTAGGTTGCGATGAAAAGCGGGTGGATTCATTGCTCTGGCAGGGTCTTCCAAGCTGAGAAGGAGTCCGGCGTCTCCATCTGAAAGCGCAGCTAAAAATACCTCTAAGAAAAAGCAAAATGTAAGTAAGAAACCAATACCTGGGTCCACCGTCGACCCGGTATCAAACTAATTCCATTATAGGAAATCTCTGATCAAGAAGGGCGGCAATGCCTGTGTTGGTGACGACCTGACGCAGACTTTGGCTAGGCTGACCTCGGGGCTCCAGGGAACCACAGTGACTAAAGCAGCAAAACTCCAGAAAAATGGAAATTATGCTGGGGCCCGCATAACCGGTGAAGATGGGCATCCAAGTATCCAAGTAGGTAAGTATATATAGGCTGTGGCAAGCAGGATTTCGAATGGAAGAGCAGGACGATCTGGACCGTGTATGCAAAGAATCGCAAATTTTAATGGTTTTATTATTGTTACAAATGTTGAACAAAAGCTAAGAGATGTCGCTTCAAGGTTAAGCATTGTTTAGAGTTCAAAGAAACCACTATTTTTGCAACACATGCCCTGAGGGCGATGCGTCTCATCGTAAATATGTTGAAGACGGTTTTGTTGCTTTAGTCGTTTTTTTCTTAGCAATAATACAACATTAGTATTTCGGCATACAACCTTTATTACATGAAACCACAATGGTATTAATAAATTAAAACTACAGAACATCCTACTAATCAAATAATCGTTGATCTTTTCGCTCGTTTCGATCTTTTCATCTTGTATCCGCCTTTATTTCCGAAGCAATACGGACAATTTCCACCACTACCACCACCACCACTCGATCCTCCGGTAGTTATTGGGTCCGGAATACCGTAGCTTCCACCGTAGCCTCCACTGTAGCCTCCACCGTAACTTCCAAAGGTGTTGCCGTAGCTTGTACTGCCCACATTGCCGTAGGTAGAGTAGCCGCTTGATGGAATCTGTATCTGTTGTCCTTGTCCACTACCGTAGCCGTAGTTGCCATAATTGGGATAGCTACCGTATGAAGATGGATACCCTCCAATACCCTGGTTGTTGTAACTGGACATAGTTTGTTGGCTTGCTTCCGGCTGAATGACGTAGCTTTGTGAGCTGCCACCATATCCTTGACTACCGTAGCCACTGTATGGATATGAGCCAAATGTGATTCGACTTGCTGAGCCAGATTTATAGCCCTGTAAACAATACCTTTACGAGTTAGAATGAAGTCAAATCAAGGACTATGTTTAAAGTTTTCTTCCAAGGTTTTTTAACTTTATGCTAGAACAAATTATCTAAAATAACATTATGCTTCCGAAATCATATAACTAGAAGAACTAAGTTCCTTTTTTGAATAAGTTTTCAAAGGAATTATTAGGAAAAGCTAGGTTTAGGATGTTAGTTTCAGTTACGTTTTGTTAAGGCAACAACTGCAATTGTAGTAGGTAGTAGTAATAGTATCAAGAATGATAATGGTAACATCAGTAAGAGTAACAACTGTATTAGCACTGATAATACTGATATTGCTGATGATATGTTAGTCTCAAACCTCGTTGATTCGTGTCGCAATCGCCTGCCCTAGCTGATTACCAAAATCCGATGGACTAGTGAAATATACTAATGGATTTGAACTGCTAGAAAAATCATAAAATTAGCAGTGTTGATAAATCGTTTTGTATTTCTATTAGTACATCTCGATATAACGGTTACAACTAAAATACACAAAATACCCCGCTTTGATCAATGCATTAGGTTTGCCCACGCGTTCGATCCCATTCGTGGCATCGTAGAGGTGATTGAGCTCGCATTTGGTTCGCATAGAGATTTGCAGGGACTTATTGATGTATCAAATCAGTGTGTTTATCCCATCAGGCAAGTCTGGCACCTATTAGCCGCTCCAAGAGGAATGGTGGGCTCGGTTCACTCAGGGCTTAGGATCGAACCAACAACTCTTTGTATATTCTAGGGCATCGCTAAGCATTGGACTACAAGTGTCTCGCATACTGTACTACATAGAAAGTAAATGAATAGATCGACTACCGTACTCTGAGTTTTGGTAACCAGTAAGGACATACTGGCCGCCGTTCAACGTTGAACATTGTGGGCAAACGGCATTTTGTGCATAAGTGATAGATTTCAATAGAAGCACTGCCAGTAGTACTGACACTGAGTAGTACATTGATGTCTGAAAACGACAGCCAAATATCCTAATTGTAAGATATGATGTGGGAAACGAATACCTTAGAATAACAGGAAAAAACAGAACTAGCTCCTATTTACATCCAAGGAGAGATTAAGAAGTGATCAATAGTGACAACAGAGGAAAAAGACAGTGAACGGGATGAATTACCTAGGGATGCTTTAGGTTTACCAAAAAAAAAAAATTATATGTATTCCTTCTTTGATGAGCTTACACGAGGTTGATAATGATGTTTATTTTCGGCTAACGTTTCGACATCTCGCCGTCTTCATCAGAGCCGATGATCCGAGTCGATGGTCCTCACTTGCTATTCGTCTCGATGTGCCCGCTTCGCCTTCGTGTCGAGTCAGGTCCTCTTCGGCTGGCCATCTCTTCGAATGAGGCATACTCACTCGGTGATGCCTTTTTATGCAGGTTGCTGATAGTGGATAGCTGTGATTATCCAGTTATAGTGTGATAATAACTTGTTTTTCCCGGACAATCAAACCTGCAGAGGTCGGTGTTATTATCAGCTAGCACAAAGCTCGAAATATAAAAATTTGTAATTTTTACTGTTAAATTGGTGATGCTTAACGAGTTCCTCGAGCGAGCAGAGAACCCAATGGGCTACTCTTGCACGCGACAGGAAAAATGGAAGATTTACTGGCGCCCGCTCGAGTCACTCGACGACCAACGGGACTACAGGTGGCACAGGTGAAACTGTTTTTAAGACTACTAAATTGAAGTTTATTGAAACTACTGAAGATTTTTATGCGATTGTTTTTTCAACATCAATATTTCTTCTTTCTTACCAATTTTTCCCATTACTTCGCCTTTTCTCGTGCTTTTATAGGTTTTTGCTCTAAAAATCTTGGGTTTATATGGCAAAAGGGAAAACTATAAAAGAATAAAGCGAACATATTTTGGTATTAATGGTTTCTTTTTGGGCCAAACTTTTGAGGCTCCCTGGGTTCTGCATGATTTTCTTCAAAAAAAGAAAAGAAAAAGAAAAGAACTGCTGAACAATTTTATTTGATTTTTCCTATGTGTATTCACCTAGATCAAAGAAATTGAAAGAAAACAGAAATATCAACGAGTGTCAAATTGGCTAAAGATATTTGAGTTTTCTACCAGTTCTCATCATCCCAACGGTTTACCGCTTCATCGTGGTTGGGAGGTGTTCCTGGCTGACGGACTGCGATGTACAGCAGGGGATTCAACCCCTGGCAGGGTCTCCCAAGCTGACGAGTACGGCGTTTCCATCAAGAAGCCCAATTAAAAGTGAACCAATACGAGGATGCATCACTGTTCTGATGTCAAATTAGTCGCATGTTGGCAAATCTCCCTCTGATGCACAAGGGCTGCGACTGATTGTGGTGGTGAAGACCAGGAGTAGACCTTCGGCAGGCCAACCTCTGGATTCCGGGGAACCACAATGGCTTAACCAGCAAATCTCCGAAAAATGGAGATTATGCCGAGGCTCGCACAACCAGTGAAGACCGGACATTTAAGTATCAAGTGACTAACTATCAATTCTCTGGTAGATTTCTTGTTATTATCATTGTTACTGTTGCTGCCATCATTATTTTTTGCTGTTACTATCATTATTATCATTATTATTATTGTCATTGTTATTATTTCTATAATGCTGAGATATTTGCAAAACTCCGGGCCACAGGTGTCTGTGGTGGGGAACGAACGCGCTATTCTCCATTCCGGGGATTAACGCGTTTTCACCACACTATGCGGGACTTTCGTTTCGCCTATCTGCCTTCTATCGATAGAACTAGCTGAGGGGCACGCGAAACGTAGAACCCGCATGGTGTGGTGGTGAACGCGTTACTCCCCGGAATGGACAATAGCGCGTTCGTTCCTCACCACAGACAGCTGCGGCCCGAAGTTTTGCTAATATCTCAGCATTATAGAAGTTATATTTCGCAACATACCCTGCCGTTAAAAAGAAAATAAAAGGTTAAAAAGGTTAAAAGTAAATAAAGTAAATAAATAAAGAAATAGTAAATAAAAATAAAGTAAAAAAGTATAAAAATAATATATAAAAAATATAAAGATATATAAAAATAAGGTAAATAAAAAGGTTAACATTGTTGTTTCTGTTGCTATTCTCACTGTTATTAATAATATAAGAGGGCGGATAGCACAGTCGTAGTGATGTTCGTCATCACGAGCTCATTGCTAGTTCGACTCCGCTCCGGGCCTACCAAACCGCTCATCCCTGCGGAGTTGGGAAATTGGTACCGCACTTATCTAGGAAAAAATCACTCTCTGCAATCCAATTGGGAACGCTCCAGCCCGGCTAGCTCAAAACTCCAGAGAGAATTGCTCGATCAGCATTCTACGGCATTCAAGATGAAATGAAAATCCTCAAGTGGCAACCGAAGCCACTCTCAAAAGTTGGAGGATCTTCGTGGATGATGGATGCGAGGAAACGAAATGAATGTGAGAAATGCCGGGATCTGCACAGTTGTCATGAAAACGGGTCATATAAAATGAAATAAATATTATTATTCTTGTTTTTATTAATATTGCTATTTTGCTATTTCTGCTATTTTTAAATAATAACAGTGCTCCATGTAAAACCATGAAAAAAAGTGCGGAAATCGTTTTCTGACGTTTATTTCTTTTGTTGAACACAAAGAAGTAGATCAAATTGAATAGTCACTGAAGGAGATCATAAAAAATCGATATATCTGATAATAGAGATCGATCATTCCTTTTCAACAAAGGAAAAAACCCAAAATTCACGCTGTAAGTTGGATGGAGAGATCGTCGAGACTGGAATCTAAGAAAATTTTAAAAACTCTTGAAATAGATAAAAAAAAAAGTTTGCATGTAGATGTGGACGTCGAATAGAACCCACAAAGATCAATTCGATTACGATGTCGATTCGAATCGAATCGATGGATAGCTTTGAAATATTCGTCTGCTATTCGCACTTAGTCGATAGGCAGATGATCGATGTTTTTTCATTGATAAATGAAAAATTCGAAAGAAGAAAAAGAGAAAAAGGGACGAAAGAAGCCGAGGAACTGAAAATAAAAAAAAGGAGAAATGATTCCGAAAGTAATAAGACTTTCGGAATTTCCGGATGGTTCAGGTAAATGAGAATCATCCTTGACATGATACTGATAGTGACAGTTCAACTGATTCCCATGTTAATCGCGAAGCAAATGCTCGGCCCGACTTATTCAAACACTGCCCGCCCTTCTCGTCGCCCAGCACTCAGCACTCAACACATCGACACTTCAGCTGACCGGACTATTGTCCAGGCCGTCAAGTTGGAGAATGAATAAATAATGTGATTGTGAATGAAAACTGAACGCTGCGAAAGTGTAAAGAACGTTTATGACGGAAAAGAAGTCACCAACTCGTGCAGATCACACCTGCACGATCGATATGTACTTAATGCATTAGACGAAGCGAATCTGACCATCACAGTCACCAACTTTTATTCTTCTAGTGGTGGTTAGAAGACTGCTTATACGGCTTAGGGAAGAGACTCTTAACTACACGACAGACAGACAACAAGCTCGTCCTGTGGTTGTTCACCGTTGGACTTAATTTATTTGCACGACTGAACTGTGAAAACAACAAAAGAAAAGATTACTTGAGTTTAGACCCCGTTCTCAAAATGCATGAAGAAATTATGATATTGTTTCCTACATGAGTTCATCATCAAACGGTTCACATTTCTACTGTTCGGGATCAAAATCGTATAGTCCTACACTCAACGTTCAACACTGAAATTAGAGTACGAATTGATATCAAGTCATAAGCAGAAAGGCGGCGTAGTCCCATTTGTATTGATACCAGTAGATAATTTTCTGATCGTATATTTTTCCGGAGAGAATTCATTTGCGCCAGCTTTTGTATTCAATTAATAGCCTGTCCAGCGCCGATGTTGTGCTAGAATTTAGTCTGTCAAAAGACAAAAGTTAAAAGTTGAATTTCCGGATTCCTTCGTCGGATGAGTTCTTCAGCGCGTTCACACATGCACGACGAAAAATGAGGTGTGGTTTCAAACGACCGAAATTATTTGAATTTAAAGCTCAGACAGGCAACGGGTCGCGACAACTCGTCTAGAGGAAAGAAAAGAGCTGGCCCAAACGTGTCCAAAAAGGAAAACCAATCATAAGCGATTCTTCGTAAGCACCTAAATAATCTCTTGAAAGTTAGTTTGGAACGTGAAGTTAATACAGAGGAAAAAACTTTTACCTACAATTAATAATCGGAGTAGTCAGGCTCGTTTTTTTATATTCTACTGAGAGAAGCAGGCTCTGTTGAGAAGTGCAATATTCTATTAGGAAACAGCATAAACGATGCTGTGTGAACGACATTTCAATTCGTCTAAACGACATTGTCGGCCTCTTATAAGTGAAGGAGGGAGGGAGACAGAGGCGGCTATGCTTCAGTCTTCGCCAGAATTCCTGTTTTCAACGAGATATTGTTGTCCAATTGATTCTTGTCCAGTCGTTGAAGTTTCTCGACGATGACGAAAAAATTTATCCTACAGGCAAATATTTACGAATATGTGCAGTTTTTCCGGTATTAATGACGGTTCCTCTTCAGATCACGCTTTCTGACCGGCCACCGACAACCGCCGCTGCCCACCGCCAAACCGGCTACACTCCTCCGTAGAGTACAGATCGAGTTATTTTAAGGTGTTTTCCGTCTGCACCTTCACTATTTTCTGTTACCGTCTGCACATTCGGAAAGTGTACTCGGTTCGGACTACTACATTTACCAAAGCGCCTTTACTACTGGTTGACTGACCATCCAGATAGGCAGAGGTTAACTGCTGCCCAGCGACATGCTTCAGCTGCTGTGCCGAATAGAAATGAAGCTATTTCAGAATATTTTTTTCGCACTGGTTATCATCTAAGCATTCAGAAGCATTATCCCGTATCGATGACGCCGCGCCACCTAATTTGACTCAACACGCAGCCGTTGAGTCGGCCACTGTTGCTCACCGAACCGGCCCGTCTCCTCTGTCCAGTACAAATGAAGCTATTTTAAGGTTTTTTTTGTTTGTACTTTTCCGTCGTTACCGTGTACCGTCGTTTACATACTCAAATGTTTTACTCAGTATTGATGATGATATTCGCAACCACTTGGTTGGCTGACGGGCCAGCCACACACAACCGGCTTGAAGTACTAACAGGTTTATTTTAGGGTATTTTTCATTTGAATTCTTGTAATTTCGGTTAATACTTACTCATTTTAAAACTGCACCTGCTTTCATCTTAGATGCTGTTTCAGTCTTTTTTATTTTCACCGATAGCATGGAGAAGACAGTGAATAGCTGATGTGAATCGATCGTTTTGTGGTCAACTCAAAACAGCTACTGATTGATCTTTAAAGTGCAGCAGCATAAAGGCGACATGGAAGTCTGTTTTCTTCTGAACAAAAGTCGAAATATATTTTAAAAAATTATTATATCGACTTGTAAGTAACATGGAGTTTTTCTTTTCTTCAAAGATGAAAACTCTGCTCGAAGTCGGATACCGGACACACTTAAGATGTGTAGATGTGTTCATCTTTTCCTGTCGCTGCATGTTTGTTGATGTTTTCGTAGTGTCAACAAATTCGTAGAACTCGTCCGAAATGGACGAGACGCGTTTATCTTGCAGGACAAATGACTGCGACCACCTTGCGAATAGCTCCAACACTTGTTCGAATGTTCAACTTTTTATTTAGCGCTATTTTTTTGTCATGGTAGGTTCCTGTGAAATAAGACCACGATAGAGTTGAGCAGCTCAGCTGGTATTCCGAGATTTGTAAATATCTCAGCATCATTAAGGCTGTATTTCACTTGCTTAATTATTCGTTGAATTCAAATCGTTTCGAGTAGACTTACTATTAACGTAGCCATTCATCAAATAAGTCACTGCATTCTTGATGAGCAAACACGAGGTTGTTACTTTGCTCCTCGTTGACAAATAAGCTGACGTTTCGGCCGATTTCATCTTCTTCAGAGCCTAGAAAGGTCAAGTTGAGTGAAATCTACCCATCCAAGCACTTCCATAACCAATACAGAAAAACGATGAAAACGAGATCTCATTAGCACTGAAAGAGAAATAACTTCTTAGCTCACTCATTGCTTTCTGTGAGTCTTCCATTGAGTATGTCAAGTGGAGACCAACCGCACAGAATTTACACGGAATCGTAATGTACCATAATGAAGATTAAAATATCAGTCTGAGTTATTGTGGGAGATCACGCGTAATCGTAGAGCACCTCTCCTTGCGGTTCACTCTCGCATTCTTGGAATTTGTCCGGAATTCCTCGAGAGTTTTACGCGCTGAAGTTTTCGAATCCTGTGCGAGGATGGTAACTTCTACTTCGAAATCTCCTCCGTAACGTCTCTGTATCGTATGCACGCCCACTGGAGCATTTGATTTAACTTCAAGTTTACCGACTCGTTGTTCTTTTATACCGTAGTGGAGTGGTCTAGCCGTCTCGCCAATATGTTCGTCCCCACACGCCTTACAGCCACTTTATGTTAATTCATAGATGTAAACCCATTGGTCTAACTAAATAAATCGTCGAATATTTACCAATGCCATTGAAATCCGGATGCGTTTGTAGTGCAGTGGTTACAGGTGCCCTACAATACACAGACGGTACTCGCTCCAAATCCACGTCTCGAGCAAACCAAGCTTTCCATCCATTCGCTACATCAGTAGGCCATCACAACTCATTGTGTGAGCCAAGTATGAACTAAGTCACCTCTAACGATACTTCATGAGTTCGAATGCGTGGCACATCACTCAGGAACTGATCAATGTCGAAAGCTTCATCCTTTATCCTTCTATCACTGAAATCTGAGATGTAACAGAAAACATTTGCTTATGATTATCTTACTAAGATAGCTGCATGAGTTTAGTAAAAACAAAAGGATATTGAACATGCTCAAATACTCGAAAAGATGTTGGATTTTTCCAACCACACACTTTCATTTTGTTAAAATTCGACGTTGTAGATGAGAAAGCACGAATGTACAGTGTGGAGTGGTACTGAAGGCGGTGGGTTGTGAGAATAATATACAAACATTATGGTATGTATATAGAATGAGTATAAAATATAGGTTAGAGGTGCCCTGTGAAACAAACATGTTCCCTAGTTCTACCTCATTAGTGTAGCTAGCCAAGCCAACATCTCTGTTAGGTCAGCAAGCCGATCTCATCACAGGTCTGCAAAGCCGTCCAAATACTGACAGCGTGTTTACACGAAGGACCATAGGAGCATGTAGTAAATAATAACATGCATACCATTCATAGCTAAACAGCGATAAAGCGAAGTCTGTTGTACGGTCTTGTCATGTTCACAACCTCTCAAGTTTTCTAGTTATCGAAAACATCGTTTTCTGTCCAGGTGCGAGACTGAGGGTTTCGAGTTCTAGCAAGACTTGTTTGATGGCTGACCAGGGCGACGAAGTTGCACTTAAAATTTTTGTGTTCTTATTCTACACAGGACATGCTTCCTAATTACGTTAATTACGTTCTGTATCAGTGACTTTTTATTGGTTTCTGTATCAGCGACAGATTCATTAATCCTAGTGCAAAATAATACCATACCCAACTAGTTTCAAACATTTTTCATGATATCATGCTCGGTTCTTAAAGGATTCGTATCTTAAAGTCGTACAAACTTCCCCATGCTATTATACATCCTAAACGAATGCCTGATGACTGATGAAGACGTGGAGAAGACCTTTCGATCCACAAAAGATGCAGACTGCTTGTAATGAAGACCAGGGAACGCTCTAGCATTGATATCCTGGGATTTCAAGGATGCCGCCTGAAGATGCAGCCGTGTCCGGACGGAATATTTTCGTGTGTGATAATCGTTGCTAGACGACAAAATGAACTGAAGTGTTGAAAAGAGCGTGAGCATAGCCCATACAGGTGAACGAGTTAATATCACACGCTAACTGTAAGCTGAAATTTGTTGCCTAAAGTTCTAAATTAAAAAACTGACATGATTTTCCGGATTTCCGAATACCAAATACGTGAAGCGTCCACACCCTTTTTCACACGACCCGACATCACATCTATACTTCGCAGATTGTAGCATTTCCTGCACTTAATTCAAGTCCTCACGTCTCCATCATTCACGATAGTTTTCGGATTCTTGCTCATGGGTTCGGTTGCTGGTTGAGAGTTTGTGGTCCTATTGATGAATGTCGAATATTGCCTGAGTGGATTCTCTCGAGATACTGTGACAACAGTACTAAGGTGTTTCAGATGCTTATCACGAACATTCGGCAGCTTTTATGGATCGAACAGAGAGAACTGATCCTAAATGAATAGACAAGTCTGGCACTCTTTTCACGACGGAGGGGTGGGCGTTTATCTGGACCGCGTGTTGAACAGCACACCACCACTGGCTGCTCACTCAACTGAAACGATCGTGTTGATCTTTTCTATTTTATTTTCGGTAACCTAATAAGTTACTATTTAGTGTACTATTTTTAATTTGACGGAAGGGTCGTTTATAGACATTAGCATTTTTTAACATATATATATACATGTATTTTTATATATATACAGCCTACCAGCGGCTTACTGTCTCATCGTGGCTGGGAGGTGTTCCTTGGCAACTGGCTGTAATGTACACAAGGAAGATTCGTGCCCCCGGCAGGGTCTCCGAAGCTGAAAAGGAGTATGGCGTTTCCATCAGGAAGCCTAGCTAAGAGTAAATCGATATCAGAAACCACCACCGCCCTAGTATGAATGGTGGCAAAGTTCCCTCTCATCCACAAAGGCTGCCTGTGGTGGTGACGAGCTGGGGCAGATTTTCGCCAGTCTGATCTCGGGACTCCACGGGACCACAATGGCTAGATCAGCAAAACTCCAAAAAATGGAGATCATGTTGAGGCCCGCACAACTAGTGAAGACGGGCCATCCAAGTATCCTTAAGTACTTAAGTACTTAAGTAAGTGTATTTATAAACAAGTAGTTGATTTATAAGATTTTTTGCGAAGCTGTATTAGTTGTTGTCCATTCTGACAAGACCATAGAAGTATTGCACAAAGAAACACTAAGTAAAAAATTCACTTTATTAGACCCGCAATGGCATTGGAAAGAACGAAAAAAGTAACATAATGCTGTACATAATTTGATCGAACATTATTAATGTATCCCACCTAAAATTACAGTGGACGGGTCTCATTTTCTACTGCTTAAAAAATATAACCCAAACCCAAGTCTTTTGTACAGAAATTCTCCTAAGAAAACAAGGTGAGGGCCGAATTTTAGGTGGAAAGCACTCTGTTTTAACAAAAACAACCTGTGGAGTAATCAATAGAGTGAACAGAGATATTGGAAAGCTAAGCTCCGCCTATTTTCGACAAGTTTCTGGATCGTTTCTGGATATCAGGCGTAGTTCGTTGAAAAACGGTTATATGTCGACGAAATCGAACTCTTGGACCTCGTAACTGCTCCAGTGAAGGACATAGTGGTCTTCGACAAACGCCGTTCAGTTTCAATAGCAGTTTGACGTTGCATTCGAAGAATACCGCAGTCTTAATGAGGTGTATAAATTACTAACATATCCTCATAAATACGTGACGGCGGAATATGTTTTCTTCTTATTTTTTAGTACTTTGTAACGATTTAGACGGCCGCCATTGGGTTCTTGGATATTTATAGCCATTTAACCACTAGCAAGTGGCAGCCACGGGGTTTGAGATTTGTTAGCTCATTTGTAGAGGTTAGGCTAGATTCATTGTGCTAAATGTACTTCTTCAGAGGGCAGTGTCTTAACTTTTTTTCTTCCTAGTTTTTTTCACATCAGGGTAATATTTGAAATGCAACCACAAGGATGCAGAGGTATAAGCAAAACATGGATCCCAAGCCTGGTGCGAACCCACGATTCCATTTTCAAGGGCTCACGTGCTACCTAGCACCACCTTGGTCAGAGTAACCGCGGGTTCGAAGACCAACTTTAGTTCCGAGTTATGCACACATCTCAGTATCCTCGTGGTTTTAACTTCAAGACCTTTGATGACGATGAGTTGTCAGCCGATCTGCTTCAGCTCCATTCATTCAGTTCTTAGATCTCCATCTTTACAGGTATCATACCTGGTCGACATCAAGTGAAAACGCATTAACGAGAAGTCCTCCGTTCAAATCCGATGGATACTCGACATGTGGCAGAATGTTGGGAAACAATGAACATCCGAACTCGTCCAGAATCGGCACCTACAATCAAAAAGTATCCCGTTATTTTATGATGAAATCAACATCACATATGTATCTATAAAGCGCAAAAGATAAGGTGTTCAGTGTTAGCCAGCATCCATTAGAGATGTGTTATGCATTCAACTCCATCCGTAGCACTTTAGAGGTAATTCGATGAATATTTGGCCTATACAATGTGAGGGCCTATCGTTGTATCAGGTCTATTATCCACCTGTATAAGTCTGGTACTAGGCTGTCAATTATGGGAGGATGGGATATTCGTTAGCCCTGATACGGGATGAAACCAATAACCATAGCATGGCGAATTCAAACGATGTGCTAAATGTGGCCATTTTGATATGATATAAAATTATAATTAAGATAAACTTTCACTGCAATCCTTCTCATTTACAATTAGCCGCGTTAAAGAGTGTTGTTTTCATCGGAGAAGAACCACAGCGGATTCTCCGTTTTGAAATTAGAGTTTCCATTAGGAACATCAGGAACGGCTGCGTTCAATCAGCGCTTGTGGAACAAGGAGAGAAGCCATCCAAAATAAGAATCCCAGTAGACCGTGTATTCCAATAGTATACCAAGGTGCAAACCTAACCTTTTCCGCAAAAAAAAAGGCCTGAACAGAATACATAGTTGAAGTTGCTAGTGACATAGTTGCCCAATGAGGATGGAGTGGTCATACGCATCAACGGATGTCGCTGATATCGTTGGTTTTATAGGAAGAACCAATGAAGTAAAGATGGCGTTCAATGAACTCATTGAGGCGAGAAAGGACAAGATTGTGAATACGTAAGAATGGAACCCAGCTCCCAAAAAGCCATGGTGTTATGGGAAACAAGTCGAAACGGATGGTCTTTTATTTAAGAAGAACGGATCCAACCTCCGACTATTTTCATGAAGTTGGAAAACAACGTGGACGGGCAGTCATACAAAAGAAGGAGTGCAGCAACGATAGAATTTTACCCTCTCAGTGGAGCTACTCACAGTTTAGATAATCCGCAGCATCATAGCCACCTATTTGTTTCATCAGTGCCTACAGCACATTACTGTGTAGATGTGACATTAACTTACAATAAAATAAACGATGATTTTGTGCACACGCGCACACATACTGAACCGAACGTGTTAGGTCAGATTAATGTTGGCATCAGCCTCGTTCCACAGCAATACATATATATATATATATATATATAGTATATATATATATACTATATATATTATATATATTATATATATATATATATATATATATATATATCCATCAAGAAGATGCTTCCA